GAGGGAGAGAGAGAGAGAGAGAGAGAGAGAGAGAGAGAGAGAGAGAGAGAGAGAGAGAGAGGGAGAGAGAGAGAAGACAGAGAGAGAGGAGACAGAGAGAGAGGGAGGAGACAGAGAGAGAGGGAGAGAGAGAGAGAGAGAGAGAGAGCGAGAGAGAGAGACACGGGGGGGGGAAGGGAGAGGGGGGAAGGGAGAGGGAGGGAGGGAGGGAGAGAGAGGGAGGGGGAGGCCGCGACTCCGCGGCGCTGAGCGCGGCGGCGGCCGGGGCAGAACCCGCGCGCGGCGTGCAGAGCGAGCGCAGCGGGCGCGCGTCCCGGGCAGCCTCACGCCCCTGCCTCGCTCGGTGCCCGCGCCATGAAGCACATCCCGGTCCTCGAGGACGGGCCGTGGAAGACCGTGTGTGTGAAAGAACTGAACGGCCTCAAAAAGCTCAAGCGGAAAGGCAAGGAGCCGGCGCGGCGCGCGAACGGCTATAAAACTTTCCGATTGGACTTGGAAGCGCCCGATCCCGGCGCCGCCGCCACCAACGGGCTCCGGGACAGGACCCAAAGGCTGCAGCCTGTCCCGATCCCGGCGCCAGTGCCAGCCCCGGTGGCGCCAGCCGTTCCTTCAGGTGGGGGCGCGGATACAACCGGGGAGCGCAGAGGCACCCGAGCGCCCGAGGTCCCAGACGCACGGAAACGCGGTTTCGCCCTGTGTGCAATGGGACCTGGACTCCCCACGTCGCCGCCGCCTCCAGCGCCCCAGGGCCTGGCATCCGGAGGTTCCGAAGCACAGCCTTTTCGTGAACCCGGCGTGCGTCCCCGCATCTTGCTGTGCGCACCCCCGGCGCGCCCAGCGCTGTCCGCGCCTTCCGCACCCTTAGCACCCCCGGAGTCCTCAGTGCACCCTGCGCCTCCCACGCGCCAGGGGGAAAGTTCCTACTCGTCAATTTCACACGTAATTTACAATAACCACCCGGATTCTTCTGCGTCGCCTAGGAAACGTCCAGGAGAAGCGACCGCCGCCTCCTCCGAGATCAAAGCCCTGCAGCAGACCCGGAGGCTCCTGGCGAACGCCAGGGAGCGGACGCGGGTGCACACCATCAGCGCAGCCTTTGAGGCACTCAGGAAGCAGGTACCCACTTTCCGCCGCACACCCTCAAATTGCAGGAGTGTGTGGGTGAATGGCTAGGGAACTGTACGCAGGGTAGGACAGGTACCCACTTTCCGCCGCACACCCCCAAATTGCAGGAGTGTGTGGGTGAATGGCTAGGGAACTGTACGCAGGGTAGGAGTGTGTTTAAGGGGCACGATGTCCCCTCCCAGTCACACCCCAGAACCCAGACAGGTTTGGGCAATCAGCACTGGTACGAATCTTAGTTTGCAAAGTGGGCTGGAGATCTCTGGCTTGGGCACGCCCGGCTCCTCTAACCCTGTCTGCGCGCCTGACTTCAGCCCTCATAGTTCATTTTTACGGCAGCAGGTATTTGTCTCCCGGAATCCCTTGGGCGCGGTGAAGAACAGAGAGGGAGAATGTGGGAATCTGTCCGGGTCAGGGGAGGGGAGCAGAGCACGGCTGTAGTCATTTGGCGTGGTCAGGGGCTTGGCGCTCTGTTCGTGGCTGAGACGCAGAACTCTGCTGAGGCGCTGTCCTGGGTTCTCCAAGTGTAAGGGGTCCACGGGTAGTTTTCAGCCCTTCTTCAGCCCCAGCTCCTAGCTAACTTGCTTCTAGGCTCTGTGCCCCTCGCCTGGCGTCCTTAAGGCTACAAGCCCTCCTCAGGGCGGTTTCAGAAGCTGTCCGGTAGGAACTTTCCCAGGAGATCCTGTCCACCACAACCTTTCCTCTCCTGGGAAGCAGGCACCTCAACTGAGACCCGGCTCCTTGGGGGAGAATCTTACCAACCTACTTGTAGGTGAATACGGTCTTCTCAATTTGGGGCTGGCAGAAGCTTGCCCTCACCAGGTAGTGCCCTGCTGAGGAGGTGAAAGAATACTTAGCAGAATTACCTACAGGGAAGGAGGATAGTTTACATTTCCACTTCAGGCAAGCTTGGCACTTCCCTGGGACTCTAGGCTTCTCTTTTTCTAAGAGAGAAAGGAGATCTAGAAGAGGATGGTAAGTACCTTCCCCACCACCCCAGGTCATGGGAAAAGTGGAGGGTAGATGTGACTGGTTTGATGGGTGAGATTTTTTTTTTTTGCTTGCTTTGCAGCTAACTATCTATTTGACTTCAGGAAAGTTACTCAACCACAAAACTGGGCCTTAGCCAACCACAAAACATTTTTGAAAACATGATCTTTTGGGATCACACTCTCCTCTTTCTATTGTAGGTAGGGTGGAGCAATGGTGCCTTCCTCCATCCATGGGTAGGAAATTGAACCCCTGGGGAAAAGGGGCTCTATGGCTTTTGAGCCTAAGGGTTTTGCTTGAGTTTGAGAAAGATGTTTGGTCAATGAGGTGAGGTAGAGTGAGGGTCAGGTGGCTATCACAGACTAAGCTGGACCACTGCTTACAGGGATACTAGCTGGGGCTCCAGGCAGTGGGCTCAGTGGAACTGTCAATCCCACCCTGAGCTAGAAGCTCGTGCCTGCACACCTGGGTAGGGGTGGATGAATGGAAGAATGCTCACCTTGCAACTTGGAAAGCCCCTCCTGGATTGGGGAGGCTACATGCCCAGAGCTTCACAGCTGGTGAGAAACAGGGCCAGGTTGGCACCTGGGTCCTTAGACTGCCAGCTCAGAGCACTTTCTGTGCCTCCAGCTGCCTTTTTCAGTTCTGCAAGAGAGAATATTCATGTCCTCTGAGTGTTCTACTATATCTCATTTGTCCCATGGCTTTTTGTATTTTTCTACAATAAATTCCATCATATTTGATCTCAACAATGTCCCTGTTAGGATTGGATTAACCCATTTAATGGAATAGAAAACCGAGGCCTGGAGAAAGAAGACACATCCAAGATTACCTAGTGGATTGGGGAAGATGATTTCTGGAATGCCTGCCTGGCCAGATGCTTCCCATGGTGCCATGTGAATCTGCATCTTGGGCTCCCTCCCCACCCAGCCCTCCCTGTTTGTTAACACTTGGAGCCTGGGTGGTGCCCTTGGCAGACTCGCTGAGATGGGATTGGTAATCCTGGTCTCCTTTCACTTCCACCCTTCCGTGGGGATGTTCTATATGAAAGGGACAAGTCCAGTGTGTCTAAGCAGGAGGCAAGTCCAAGCCCTCTCAAGGAGAGAGTGTTGCATGCACACTTGTACATGCATATGCGTATGCACAGGCACACACACACAGAGTTATGCATGTTCATTAAATGTGCTCAAAAGCACACACAAGCACAATCTCAGATACACCTGCTCCTTTCCTCCTTGTTACAACCTTCTGTCCCTTCCCTAGAAAAGCTGCTAGACTGAAGTGGACATCTGCCTATTGTCTGAGAAGGACAGAAATACAGCCAGGGCACTTCTAGTCACAGCGCTTGGGGCCAAGGTCAAAGACCATACCTACCGTTCCCCCCTCTCCATACCCTCCTACAGTCCCCACATGGTAGTCAAAGTCCTGTGTCCCAGAGTGGCTCTTCCCTCATCTGGGCCTCAGACTCCCACCTGTGAAATGTACCCACTGCCCTGCCCCATCCAGATGGGCAGAAGCTCTGGATATAGACTCAGGCCCTCCAGAAGGGAGAAAAGGCAGAGGCTCTGTTCCAGATGGAGCCTGGGCAGATGTGCCACTGAGGTTGGCTCTGGGATTGTGGTTCCGGTCAGGGAATTCATTTTCCTGAGCAACTTCCTGGTACGGTGCAAAGAGCACTGGCCTGGGAGTCCAGAGGCTGGGCTTTGAGCCTTGCCTCCACTGCATCCTTCCTGCCTCCCATTCCCCCTCCCTCTTTTCTTCCTTTTTTGTTTTTGTTTTTTGTCTTTTGCAATACTGAGGACTGAACTCAGGGCCTGTTGCTCTAACACTTGAACCATACCCCTCAGTCCTTTTGATTTAATGTAATTCTTCTTTTTCTTTTTCTTTCTTTCTTTCTTTCTTTTTTTTTTTTTTGTGGCACTGAAGTTTAAACTCAGGGCCTCACGATTGCTAGGCAGGCGCTCTTACCTTGAGCCACTCTGACAGCTCCCTTTTGATTTTGGTTTGTTTTTGCAGATAGGGTCTTGTGCTGACTTTGTCCCTATGGCCTCATACCACTGCCTCGCAAGTAGCTGGGACCATGGGTATGAGCCACCACACTTGACCTTATGCATGTTTTCTGTGTGTCAGAGGCAAGTGCCTTTTCTTCTTTGGGCCTCAATTACTGAAGCTGTAAAATGGCACTAATGTGTGCCTCCTACGTATCTTTCTGCAAAGAACAAATGAAGGAAGGAAGGGGACGTAAGAGGAATGAACATTTCTTAAGCATCTTAAGGTCCCAGGACAGGGCAGGGCTCCTGACAGATAAGCAGCAAGAATTCATTAATCATTTCAATTACAATCCTGGAAACTGCTGTTTATCAGACACTTGTGACAAGCCCTGTGCACAACAGCATGGTTGTGTACTAGTTCATTTAGTGGAACAGGCATTGTTATCATCCCCCTCACCCTCTCCCCGTCTCACACATGGTGACACCAGGGTCCAGAAAGCTGATGTGAGTTGGCCAATGTCTTGCAGTCTGGTTTTTTGTGCTACACACCGAGTAGCACATACCATTTTCTGGATTCCAGTGTGGTGGCACCTCCATGACACCGCTCAGTTGCAGCCTGCAGCAGTGTGTGCCATGGTCACCATGAGCTGGGATTCAATCAGAATTAGTGAGTCCCTCCAGTATTCAGTGCTTAGTAGCTTTGCTCCTCAGCCTGTCTAGGTCCTGGAGCTGTCCACCTGAGCACAGGACCAGACAGGCCACTGTGTGGTTCCAATCCACTGTCTTCCCAACTGGGAAGAAGCAGGGAGGGCAACTGTAGGGCTGAGGTGCAGGTGAAGGAGAGACCCTCCAGTCTAGGGAGTGTGTAGGGCAGATGGTCAGGCCAAAGCACATGCCACCAGCCCAGCTGCACCCGAGCCTCCCTGATGCCTCATGTGAAGGCCATGTGTGCACAGCTGGGCCTGGCTATGTGCAGGCTGCTCCCTGCCAGGTGGGAGGGGTCCAAGGGAAAGGCCAACCTTACTGGATGGGGGGAAGGAGGGGTCCAAGCCATGGGCCTCAGCCTCTTGGTGGGACCTTGGGGCATTTGGCCTGCAGATTAACTTCCTCTCTCTCCCGCTCAGAGCCCCTCAGCATTGATGGGGGAAGGGCAGCAATGGCAGGCGGTGAGGAGCCCTCAGCAGTTGCCTCCAAGCAAGTGGGGCCCAGGCTGCTCCTGTAGTCTCCCAGAGGAGGCATGTGGATGGTGACCTCCCTTGCCTCTAATACCATGGGGCAAAAAGGGCCACAGATGACCCATAGCAGCCTGTGCATATCCACTCAGGTCTGCTTGCACTGGGGCTCCATCTATGTAGGTGAGGATGACAGAGGACTCTCCCTGTCCCCATGTCCATAGTCGAGGGTAGCTGCTTGTGGAGCCCTGTTTGCTGGGCCTGTTGTGTAAGTCTGAATGGCTGCCTTCCCATTTTGCAGACAAAGATACTTATAGAAAAGGCACAAAAATTCTTCAAGGTCACTCCGTGACCTTGATCGGTCCCCAGGCCTGTCTGGCTCTGGGGCCATAGCTCTTAACTGCTAAGACCCAGGTTATTGGCTGGGGCTTGTAACCTCATGGCTTTGTAGATGGCCAGGATTTAAAAGACCTATTTAAATACATGTTGACATGAACCTTGAATAGCTCTGGGTAAGGTGATTTTGCCCCAGAGATGATTAGAGAATAGCTTCCAACAGAAGGAACCCAGTACTCAGCTGTGTGCAGTGACTGTGCTTCTGGAGCTCTGTGGGCCCAGGAGTGTTGATGGGCTTCCAGGAGGGAGAGCTGGCTCTGAAGGGCCAGCAGGGGGTGGCATTGAAGCAAGAGGGTGGAGGGCTTCTTGAGGCCTTTCCTGTGTGCCCTGGTAGGCTCTGGACTTTGTTTCTGCGTTGTACTTTCCCACTGCAGTCCCATTCTAAACAGCAGCTATTCTGATGCCCATTTTGTTGGTGAAGAAACTGGGGTTCTGTAAAATTATGGTCCTGCCTAGGGACCACAGATGGCCAGGCCAGTGTTCTTCCTGGTTTGCTGGAGTGGGGTGGAATGTTTGGGGGGACATGGGACATTTTGAAAATGCCCAAATTGGCTCCTCTGAGGTTTAGAAATCCTTGTGGGATAGCTAGCATGAGGCAGAGCTCTTTACTTTCTCAGAATCCGGGCCATCTGTGGGTTGGGAGTGGAAGCTGGTGGTCCTGCTGGCTCCTTTGGCCTGCATCCTCTGATGGTGGCTGTGGGTCCTCAGTAGGCAGTGGAGTGGGCAGGTGGGCCCTAGGCTTTGTTGTGGGTACTCAAAGAAGTAAGCAACGCTGGAGCCTCCTGGGATCAGAGCTCTCCATCCTCACCTTCCCACCTTCAGCTATAAACACTCATCCAAGTCCCCCAGTAGTTCCTGCTGGCTAATTGAAAAGAATCCTGCTGAGTCCTGAGTTCAAAACCCAGCTCTTCTACTAGCTGGGAGACTAGGGAGTTCCTATATGCCATGGGTCAAGTGCTTCTCTATAAAGTGAAAGTGGTCATTTCTACCTGTTGGGCTGCTTAAAAGATGAATATGGATGGTGTATTTGAAACTCCTGGCATTCATAAAAGGTGGCCTGTCCACACAGTCATGGAGCATCTGTGCTGCAGACTTGGGCGTGGCTGCTAGATGTGGTCTTTGCAGCTTAGTGATGTGTGCAGGCATTGCTATCCCACCCTGTGGAGGAGAAAACAGGCTCAGAGAAGTGAATGCATTTGCCCAAAATCACACTGCTAAGTGCCTGGACTTCCTAGAACCTGAACCAGTCACTAGACTCTCTCTTTGTAGTGGCAGCCAGGCCACATGCCTCCAAGCTGGGCAGTTGGAGGCCAGGGGCTGCATCTTGGGGTGTGGGAACCAGGAGGATCTGGAAGAGGCCAAGTGAGCTGAGAAACCAGCTCTGGGAATGGGGAAAGGTGGAGGGAGCCACTTGAATAGGGTCCTTGTGGTTCCATTTATGGTCACCTCTGGTACTGGGAATGAATGGCCTGTGGCATGTGCCTTCCTTGGGTGACAGTCAGATGAGCTAAGTGATATGGGGCTCAATATGCCACCTGTCTGTTTCCTCATGGGCAGATGGGACATTCGTCTTTATTTGGGGGCAGGTTTCAGATGGGAGAGCTACCTGTGAACAGCTGCCACAGTGCCCGATACACGGGAGCTCCATTGGAGCTTCTCTTTTGGTTACACATGGAGGTTGACAGAAGCAGTGGAACAAAAAATGACACAACTGGCCCAGAAGCTGGTCTAGGGCCCATGGGTCAGCCTTGGCCCCACCTGTTCCTCTGTAGTCTAGCAATGACCCTGAGTTCAGGCATGTGGAGCAAACCTTCCCCTTTATTCCACCTCCCCCTCCCCCCAGATCCCTCTCCCTTCTGGAAGCCCAGCTGTTCTGGGGCCCAGGTGCACAGAGATGGCTATTTAAGAGAAACTCTCAGTGGCTTCTGGGTGACAACAGTGCTGTGTCACAGAACTGAGTGTGTTTGGTCACTAGACCTCCCCTCCCCCACAGCCAGGCACCACTCCTGGGGTGAGGAGCAGGCAGGCAAAGGTGCCGGGCTGGCCCCAGAGCCCCTTCCCTGCCCCAGGACTGCCAGATCTTGTTTATTTGTTCAAGCTGATAAAGCAGGATTTTCTGGACTCTGCCTGGGAACAAGCAAAGCGCATTGTTCTGCCAGCTTTTCTTGGATGGGTTTGGAGCTGCGGCCAGGGTGGAGTGGGGGCGGGGGGGCTGCAGGGAGTTGGCTTTGTCTCCACTGCCTCCCTCTCCCTTGCTGGGTTTCCTAGTCGAAGTCCCCCCACATCCCTGCCCAGGCCCCACACCTCCTGCTTCTCACCCTGTCTAGAGTCCCTTTTGGGGGACCGTCTGCAACAGCCAATGTAATCATTTTGCTGACCTCTCCCAGGCCTTGCTCTGTGCAATGCCTGTGTCATCTTAGTGAATCCTTCCTGCCCTGTGATGTCAGTCCTGTTGGCAATGTGACAAAGAAACTGAGGCTCAGAAAGATGATGCCGCTTGCCTAGGGTCTTATAGCTAAGCAGAACAGAGCCAGGTGTTGAACCTAGGTGACAGAAAGGTATGTGCATTTCGGCTCTTCATTCTCAGATGAAAGATTTTTGACTCTGTTTCAAAACATCATGGAGGCCTCTGGTGAATGAGGAGGGAGATAACAGATTCGCTCACTCACTGCCTCATTCAACCAGCCTTTCCGAGGCCTGCTATGGGCAGACCTGGGTCAGGTTTTGGAGGCATGGGGTATGAGAGCATCACCACACCTTGAGCCACTTCAACAGGAATGGGGACTTAAGGACACATAGAGTACCATTAAGGGCAGGCCACCCCCTTGGTGTAGGGTGTAGAGAGTTCAGGGAAGTTCCTGGACAAAGTGAGGGTTAAAGTAGATGATGCATTTAGGGTCCTCAGTCTGAGATGACTGTCTCACTAATGTTTTTTTTTTGGACAGTACTGGGGTTTGAGCTTAGGGCTTTCAGTTTGTGAGGTAGGCACTTCATCACTTGAGCCATGCCTACATCCTTTTTTGCGCCAGCCTGGACCACCGTCCTCCTACCTACATCCTCCTGTGTACCTAGGGTCATAGGAGTGAATCACTGCACCCAGCTTATTGGTTGAGATGGGGTCTTGTTAACTTTTTGACCCAGCTGGCTTGGAACTGAGATCCTCCTGATCTCTACCTCCCAAGTAGCTGAGATTACAGGTTGTTCCTACTTAATCCCAAGAGCCTGGAATAGAGGTTTTCATCCTTGGCACTACTGAGAGTTTGGGCCAGGGAACTCTTTTTGTTGTTGTTTGCGGTACTGGGGCTTGAACTCAGGGCCTGCACTTTGATCCACTCCAACAGCCCTTTTTTATGAAGAGTTTTTTCAAGATAGGGTCTTGAGGAACTATTTGCCTGGGCTGGCTTTGAACCACGATCCTATTGATCTCTGCCTCCTGAGTAGCTAGAATTACAGGCGTGAGCCACCAGCTCTGGGAAAGGACCAGGGAACTGTTTATCGTGGGATCCTGTACATTGTAGGATATGAAGTAGCATCCCTAGACACCTCTTAGCCCCTGCTTCTCCCTTGTGGTGACAACTGAGAATGGCTCCAGACATTGCCATCTGTCCATTCTACTTCTCTTCTTCCTCCTCCTCCTTGTCCTCCTCCTCCTTCTTTGGTGGAACTAGAGTTTGAACTCAGGGCTTCACACTTGCAAAGTGGGCACTTTTCCACTAGAACCACACCTCCAGTCTATTTTGTTCTGGTTATTTTGGAGATGAGGTCTCATGAACTGTTTGCCCAGGCTGGCCTCAAACTGCAATCCTCCCGATCTCAGTCTTCCAAATAGCTAGGATTACAGGTGAGAGTCACCAGGGCCTGCTTGCCATCAATCCATTGAGAACACAATCATCCCAACTGAGAACCGCCAGCCTTGAAGAGTGCCTGGCATACTGGGGTGCTCCCTAAACACTTGTGTGGCTGCACTGTACAGGCCTCATTCTCTGGGATACAGGTGAGGCAGCGATATGGATGCTGTGTATAGATCCTGAAGAGCCATGGAGAGGGGAAATAGGAGCCTTGGTTGCTGGCAGGAGCATTTCAGCCACTTGGGTAGACAGTGCATCATGGGACCCTTAGGTTCATTGGTTAGCACCGATTGGATGGATTTGGAGGAGATATTTCCGAATTACAACAGTGCTCCATTCAAGTGTGTTGCAGCCTTCATAGCTCTTCACTCCTGCAACTCACCAACTCACCTTGGTGGTTGGTAGACAATGAGAAGAAATTAGAGGCTCCCTCTACCCCCTTCCCCCTCTGCCCACCCAGCACAAATCTCTGCAATTAGTGAGTAACTAATTGGTGTTGAATCACTGGCAGACATGTCAAGTCTGATTGGGGCTGTCACTCTTTATTATGCACCTGTTGCATGCCCTGCCTGGCAGCACCCCAGGTCTAGAGAGCATATAGAAACAGGGAAGAATAAGGAAGAAAGTGCATCATATTTGTGTCTTTCCAGCAGAGCGCTGTCTGTGTCTGTAGGGATGTTCTCAAGAGTGACATGATAGCATCATTCTTGAGTTTAAGTTCTTTGAAGCAGAAGTCAAGTTTTTAGTTGTTGGGTCCTCAAATGCCCAATAAATAAATGTCACTGAATGAGCAAATGAATGGAACATCAGAACCAAAACTTTCTGCCCTCCCTTCCCGACTCCTTAGAGAGAAAGGAGGAGTTGCTTTGTGAGGGTGGAAATTCACAGTGCATTCATTCATGCTGACTTTCAGGCATCAGCTGAAGCTGTGTCTTTCCCTGCAAAAAGGGGATGCACATGCATCCCAAGTGTTAACGTCCCATGAGCTGAGATGTGGGTGTGTAAACAGCAGGTGCTTAGCACAGGTCATACAATCAGGGTAGAGGCTGCCTCCTCTATTTCTGCCAGGTCTAGGTGGGCATGGGGCACATGCCCATCACAGAGCCGCTCCACAGCCCCCCTGACACCTTCTCCTTGCTTCCTCCAGGTGCCATGCTACTCATATGGGCAGAAGCTGTCCAAACTAGCCATCCTGAGGATCGCCTGTAACTACATCCTGTCCCTGGCACGGCTGGCTGACCTTGACTACAGCGCCGACCACAGCAACCTCAGCTTCTCTGAGTGTGTGCAGCGCTGCACTAGAACCCTGCAGGCCGAGGGACGTGCCAAGAAGCGCAAAGTATGTACCAGGTGCTGGGCAGTGGCCTCTGGGGAGGACGGGAGGCGGGGACTGCAACTTAGAGGCATCCCACATGTGCCTAGGACTTCCAAGAGGCCAGAGAGATCAGCCTCTTGACATGTTCTGAGGGTCACCTCAACTTCAGGGCTCTAAGCATCCTTAGAATCATGATGGAACCCTACCTCTGGTAATGGAGCTCACCAAGGGTCGCTGAGCCTGAATTTGCCCATTGCTTAAATGAGGACTAGTTATATCTGAAGCCCTTGCTGGCCTTATGTGCTCTGGTGCTGAAACTCCCACGTGGCCCTGATAGATGTAGCAGTTTGAGACTCTCCTGAGCAGGTGACAGCACAGAAGAAGTCTTCTGCAGGTTTTGGGATTGTGACTTGGCCTATGGATTATCTGAAGCTGTGTAAGGTGAATGATATTTATTCATTCATTCATTCATTCACTCAAGAGAGGTTTATTGAGCAAGCAGGGCAGAGGTATAGAGATGACAAATACATGGGTGTGGTTCCCATGCAGCTCACAGACTGCTCAGAAAGACTCTTCTGCAAGTAGTGGGGGAGAGTGTGGCCTATCATGGGGCCAAGGGAAGACCATTGTCCTGCCAAAGGGAATTTGAGGGGACATTTCAAACATCTTGTTTGAGCTTGGACCAGCAAGATAACTAGGAGGCCACCAGACAGACAAAGCAGGGAACCACATTGGAGACAGAAGGAATGGCCTGTACAAAGCCTGATGTGTGTGGGGAGATCTGTGCAGGGGGACAGGGGTTAGGTGTGGTTTCTCAGATAGCTGATGCTTTGTGCATTTCTAATGAGGGGTCAGTGCTGAGCAAAGGTTATTGTAGCCAGAGGATGCCATGTGGTTTGAGGAAGGGCTGTGAGCAAGAGGGCTCCCTTGGATCTCTTGGGGGCTGGGGACTCTGGCATCATCTAGTTCACTTCATCTCCTTACTTCCTGGTACACCCCTCCCCCAGACCCCTTTCAGGCAGGCCCCTCTGTGATTCCCCAGGTTTCCCAGAGGCCCCTGGGCCCCGAGCCAGGGAGGCCCTCCATGGACTCCCAGGCTCCTCCTCACTGCCAGCCTGGCCATCATTGTAATTGCACGTTGCATTCCTGGGAGTGGTTTAACATAGACCAATTAGAGGAAATCCTCATCAAGTGGGTGAGAGAGGAAGCTCCACTGGTCACTCTGGGGCCCGTTTTCTTTGGGAGAGTGACATGGGTAAATGAAGGTGTGATTGATGGCTCCATGCCACGCTCTGTGACAAAGGAGGTTTGTAAACTCTCGGTGAACTCCCTTGGCATTCAGTGTCTGTCTGTCTGTTGTCCCTTGGGGATGTGGATGGGCAGTGTGGGTGAGCACAGTGTTCCCCATCCAGGCCCCTTGCCCTGCCCTTCTCCTCCTCCCACCTTCCCCCTCCTCTTTATCCTAGCAGCACTGCCTGAGGCCTTCCCTCCACTGGTCCCTGGATTGGAGCAGACAGTGTCCTGGGCTGGGAGGAGGTAGACACCAGCCCAGGAGGTGAAGGAAGCAGGGAAGCAGGATAAAAATGGTTAGCAAAGCTGAGCTTTTGGCTTCTCCTGAAATCACCTCCTCATTGTACAGGTGAGAGACTGGACTGTGGTTAAGAGCATCAAACCATCCCTGGTTTGAGTCCTGCCTGTTACCTACCAGTCTGGACCCATTTCTTAACCTCTTCCATTTCCATCCCAATTGGAAAATGAGGATGGGGGTCGGGGACGCTGACTACCTTGAAGGTGAAACAAGTCCTTATGAGAGTGAGGAGCATAGAGTCTGCAGGAAGGGAGCATGCCTATCAAGTTTGCAATTGTCCTCACTGCCACTTTACCCTCAAGGTAATGAGTCCCTCTTGCTTTTCGTCTTGAACTTGAGGCTCACCCTGCTGGGCCCACTTAACTGAGGAAAATGCCTTGAAAGGGGGCCAAGATGGAAGTTCCAGGTGGTAAGGTGTCTCTTCTCCTCCCCTCCTCTCCCCTTTTCCCCTTCTTTTGCTTCCCTACCCAGCCCAGGCCTGGCTGGGGCCTGAACCTGGACCAGTTCTCATGTCTTTCCTGTGTGCTGCCCTCAGGCTTCTAGCACTAGATTGTAAGGGGCTTCCCCTCTGCGACTGTGGGAAGTGAGGGTCTTCTGTCTTTGCCCTTCATGGTCTCACAGACTCCAAGCATGTCCATAGTGACACATTTCCCTATGGAAAACTCCAGAGACCCCAGTGATCCTGGCTCTCCCCTTGGGCACCTGCGTTTGTAATGCAAGCCTTCCCAGAACTCCACCTGCCCCCATCGGCATACACACACCTTTCAGGAGTTTTATCTGGACAATCAAGATTTGACCCTTTAGCCTATGAAAGTTTGGGCCACTGGTATGTCCTAACCAGTCATCCAATCCAGGATACATAGTGTCCCCTGGAGCCCTTGGGCTCTTAGGCACCCTCTTTCAGATCCTGTGAAACCCCTTCTCTGTAACCAAGTACTTAGTTGTTGGTCATCCTCAGTCTTTCCTTCCCTCCCACTGCTTGTGGCAGTCTGGCCACAGACTTATCCCCCTCCTTGGTTGGGAACTACAGCACCATAGTCAGCGGGTCTGGCTGGAGTCTTTGAGTGGATGTTCTACTCAGGGAGGTGGCTCAGCTGGGCTCTGAGGCTGAGGGGCCTAGAGCCCTAAGGAGGACATTCCCTGCCTGGTTGGGGGTAAGGATTTTTCCTTCCCTTTGATTTGAACTCAAGGCCTCCTGCTTGCTACATAGCCACACTACCCTTGAGCCATTCCACAGCTCTTTTTGCATGAGTTATTTTTGAGTGGGGTCTCTCTTTATGCCAGGGCTGGCCTGGACCACAGTCCTCCTATTTGTGCTTCCCATTCCCAGTCTTCCCTTTTCTTTCATTTGAAGGCTTGCAATTTTAGATGTGCCCTGGATTTTGAGTGGCAGCTTTCTTTGGTTCCTTTTTGTGGCCTCCTAGCCTGGGCCTCCAAGGCCTCTCCTCTGTTTACCGAGATTCTATTTGGGGAGCCAACAAATATTTTCCCCCAGACTGCCTCTCTGAGAAGGATCACTAGAGCGTGTTAGGGGGTCACACCTGGTTATGTGCTGACGGGAAGAGGGACTGAGGCCGGACTCTTATCCATGGGCATCAGCTCTGCCACACCACAGACTGGGACCCAGTCAGGGTCAGGAGAAGCCTGGGAACTTAGGTGCTGGGCCCCAGAAACCCCACCTTCTATTTTCTTCAACAGATATTTATTCACCCTTTATAGGGTGTGTGACCACTGTACAAATTCAAGAAAGAGATGGGGTCCTAAAGCTCGCTCAGTATCCCTACCTCTCTTCTGCCTCCTGGACAGCTGAAGGATACCCTCTTTTGTGCTAGGCCTAGTGTAGATAGTGTAGGTACAAACTAATTTACCACAGAGATTCCAGTACCCAGAAGCCACACAGGACACTGACTTTGAGTCCGAGTCCCATGCAGAAGCCCCAGTAGTACAGAGAGCCCATGTCAGAGGCCACCCAACAGAGAGACAGGGCAGGAGGAGGGACGGCTCTGGAAAGAGTAGTCCTCACTCTGCTACCGCCAGAGATATTCAGACTTTTGTCTAGAGTATTTGGGAATCAGGAGCAGTCAGGGCAAGAAAAAGGAAAAAGCAAAAGGAAGAATTCTTGCTCCTCACTTAAGCCTCCTGCCATCAGGAATTTGTGCATGTGGCTGAACCTAGGAGGGCAGGAGGACTGGCCTGATGTTAGGGGATGAGAGAGAGTGAGACCTAGAACCTTCCTTCTAGGGGTTGGCTCTGCCCTTTCTGGGTCTGACATAGCATGGGGTTTCTATGCTGTCATCCTGGGCTTGCCATTTATGTCACCTTTGAGAAGGCCCTGGGACAGAGTACATGAGCCCAGCTGAGGTTTGAGTGACAGTTGGGTTTCTCTTTGGGGCCCTCAGAGCTTCTGGGGGCCTTTGCTGCTCTTTCCTGGAAAATAAGATGACCACCTCAGGCCTACTCCTTTCCAGCCCCTTTTTACCGAGACTGACCTTGGTGGAATTGGTTGCCCTTCCATTCATCTGCTGGAGTTCCTGAGTTCCTGAGAAGGTATATGTCAGGCAATAGCTTCATGAATAACCTCTGTCTTAGTCTGTTTTCTGCTGCTGTAACTGAATACCATGGACCAGGTAATTTATAAAGAACAGAAGTTTATTTAGCTTGTAGTTCTGAACTGGGAAGTCAGAACTTACCAGCTGCTTCACTGGTATCTGGCAAGGGCTTTTTTGTTGTATCCTCACCTGGCATAGGAAATCATGGGGCAAAACAGCAAGTGCACCAGCCGAGGTCTCTTCCTCTTACAAAGCCACTGCTACCAGCATGGGGCCTCACCTAATGCCCTCATCTCATCCTAATTATCTCCCACAGGCCCCACCTTCACATCCATTCACATATGAATTTGGGGAGTAAGTTTTCAACACACACACTGGAGTTTATTTATTTTTTTATTTTTTAATTTTTTTCCTATTTTGCCCTTATCCAGCTACTGGAGTTTAAAGCCTTCTGTTAAAAGAGTAGCTCTGAAGACTGGTCTGTCAGGTAGGGTTGCAGGAGGCTGGGGGCAAAGGGTTGTACCTTAGGACTGTTGAGTCCGTGGGATATGGCAGATATCTGTTTTTGAAGACATCTGTTGGTCACTGCCTGTGTGACTCGTGGCTGTATGAGTTTCCTTTGTTGACATGTCCCTGAGGGTCTCGGTGACTCTCCTTCAGGATGAATCTTTGAGAGGCTGAGGTCAAGGCCCTCTGGGACCCTCAGCAGCTCTTAGGAGCTGCCTGTCCCTCCAGGTCTGATGACAGGGAATTTGCTTCACTCCTCAGGCACCAGGCACACCCTTCTGCCCATTCACACCAGAGAGTTCTCCCTTTTTTGGGCTTCACAGGACACTGACTTCAAGTCCCATTCAGAAGCCCCAGTAGTGCAGAGAGCCCACATCAGA